TCTTTTTCTTCCTTCTCTCTGTCCTTAATTCTTCCTGCTTCTTGTCCTTCCTGACTTTCTTCCTCTGTCTATCCTTCAAGTCTTCTCACATTCCTTCCTCCCTTACTCTCTCCATTTTTCTTCCCTCCATTTCCTCCTTCCTTCCTTCCTTCCTTTCCTCTATCCTCTCCTTCCCTGCACACACTCCCCCTCTCTTCATCTACGTACCTTCATTAAGCGCTGAGCTCCTTTGGTGCCCGGAACAGTCTCACACACCAGGCTGATGGCTTCCCTACAGGGAGAACCGGAAAACAAACAGGCCAAGATTGTGATCATGGGCAGCAGAAAAAAAAAATTAATTACATTTTAATCCATGACAACACTGTTGACACTCTTTTATTTCATTCCCCTCAGCTACATCAAAGAAACACATGAAGATAACAGCGTATATGTAACTAAGTCAGTCTTGTCATTAAAAACTGAAGAACCGTGACACCATGGCATTATTATGTGGTCATCGTCCATTTTCTCTCTTCTGTAAAGTGGCCTCATGGTTTCATAGATTTCAATTAATTAATTTTCTTTTCAAAACCAGTGAAAGAGTTCCTCTGCTGGACAAATGTCCACTCCAAAAATATCCGCACTGAAAAATGTCTTTATGATTTGATTTGAGACAGAGTCAGAAGTCTCTTTGTGATAAAAAACAAAACAAATCATGGACAGAAATAGAAATGTTAATTCAGCTTCATTTGGATGAATCTTGCTGAGCCGTAGGTTATTTTAGAACCGGCAGAAATCTGACAATGGCATAAATGAGATATAGAATCTGCCTCTGTATTTGTTTCCATTTGATTTCTCTCTAATAAAACACAGAGATTAGAACGGGGGGGGGGGGGGGGGGGCACAGTGTGCGTGTCATGCAGAAAAGTAGAAATGACACAAACAGGTTCACTATTGATCGCTGTATCACTGCACACTGGTCAGTAAATTTCAAAGGCAGATGCAGAGTCACACACCATTTCAGGCAATAACAATAATACTAACAGAAAAGCCTATAGACTCTTAGCCATGGGCTAATGCTGTACAGAAATCTGTTTGAAATGAGTGACAAGTTAATGTCGTCACCCATCGTACGTCACAGACCAAATGACCTACCTGGTTATTTGTGACCTCGTGGAGAAATCCAGTGATCTCATTGATCGAAGAACCTCTATACAGCCCAGGTACTGGGAAAACACAAGAGAGAGAGAGAGAGAGAGAGAGAGCTCTGGGTAAAATGCACCTCCGTGATGAACATTTGAATCATAACAGGCAAAAAAAATCCACTGTTAAAATTGTAAAACTGCCCATTTTTTTATGACTCCCAGCATTGGTGAAAGGAAATAAAATGTTTTGGACGGACGTTACATCACTCATGAGGACAAGCACAAAAAATCACTATAATAATATCGCAATAAAAACTCTAAAGAAATATTGCGATAATCGCGTGTGAAAATAAATCGGATTTTAAAATTTGTATTATTGTGTATACAGAATAAGGGACTGACCTCTGAGGACCAGGTCAATCAAATAAGGAGAAACAATAGTAGTGATGGTTGTTGTTGTTTTCTGACAGAGCAGGTGAAAACTTTGCCAGTCATTAATGAACATTATGAACATTTGTTAATGTTATTTTATTATTTATCATTTATTTATGTTTTTAGGAATCACCCACGTGGCCTAGACTGAAAGCCCCACAATGAAGGCCCATGTGGACAGCATTAAAAATAGTTTTTTAAAACCATCCTTCATGAGTTGACAAAGACCAGGATGTTGCTGCTTCATTAAAAGACGATTTGTGATCACTGACGGTGTGTTACTCTGCACCGTCAGATGACTGTAGCCCTGTACGAACCACCTCCTCACATCACAACACCTCCTCTAATTAATGCTTCACACACTGGGAACAGTTTGTGCTGACAAGTTCCTGTCATTACCACAACTGCATTCATAAACAAAGGAGACAGGAAGACACACGTCCTTGTACCTCGTTGTCCTGTTACAGACACAAGAATGAAATTATAAAAACACTAGTGTGTGCAGCAGGTGTCAGCAAACAGATAGCATAATGTCACCGTGAAAAAAAGGAACGTTTATTACAGAGCTATTTTTAGAATAGTATAAAGTACACAGCCAGCCACAAAAATATAAATCCAGTGACTGATGTCCCAGTGAATTTTTTTTTTTAACAAAATTTTGGATTTTATCTGTTGTACAAGAAGATTTTTAAGCCATTTCTCTTATGCTTATATTTATTTTTTGCAACTTATTTTTGGCAATATTTTCCACATTTTGATATTCAATTTTAACATATTTATAATAATATTTCTAGAAGTAATTCACTAGAAGTGTTCACCTATTAAATCGGTTACAGTTACAGATTTATCATTATAGGATAGTTCAACCAGAAACTACCCCTTGTTACTTAGCGAGCTTCTAGGCTTCCTTCAAGCTACGTTAGGCTAATGCTAAGTTCGATTTTAAAAAGGCTACTTTAAAGGCATTATTTTCTTTAATTATTTTTCTGATTTTGCACTGCTGTTTTTGTCACCTTTATTTAATGTTTCTAAATCATTTTTTGAACATTTGTCTTAGACTCTTAGACTTATGTCAAAAAAGTATTTTGTTTATCAACTTTTGACTCATTTAGCATTTTTTTTTCCTATTTAGCTTTAAACTTTAATTAATATTTTTAAAGCCCCAAAATGGGGAACACGAAACACTATTGCTTAACTTTTAGCTACCAATTATATTAGTTGTTACTTTTTCATGTTTTATGACTGTTTTGTAGTTGGTTTACTCCCCACTCCTTTAGCTAACGTCAACTGTTGTACATTACTTTGAGCAACTTATACTGAAGTAATTAGCAGTTTATTTTTGCGGGGCATTTTAGACCCACTATTTAAACATAACAGTAGTGTGAAAATCAGGCAGCATTAATCGAAACACGGCACTGTTACATACAAGAACGTAACAGTAACTGGACGTACACAACGTGCAAACAAAAAATTCTAACAGTTTTTAAATTATCGATTAAAAATCAAGTGTTTCCACAACACTTTTCTTTTTACACTTTTGACACACAGAGGTCAAAGTGCACGTACAGCACAACAGAGTAAGGCTACCCCCAGATGACACCGCTGTTCTCCACATTAACATCTGGACGTCTTCTCTCAAACACGTCCAGATCAACAACAGAGCCGCTCCTGTCATAAACGTGTCGCTGCCACGAGCTCAGCTAGTGGGTGTAAACAAAGTCACTGTCGATCAATGTCCCGTTACAGTAATGGTCCGTGATGTGCGAGGACTGACCGCATGACACTAATTGAAAGTGCTGTGAGCAGAACACCATTTTTAACTCAATACACTCAGGAGTCAAACCACAGGAAAAGCAGGGGGAGGGGAGAATAGGCCGGACACATCGCCCACTCCCCTCGCACAGCGTGGATGCTTTCAGCAACATTAGACACACAAATAGGCCTGAATGCAGTTACAGCAGTGTGACATCGGTCACTGACACTACAGGCTTTGTTTGGCCAAGTTTCAGCAAGTGTCATATGATTGCAGTCACACTGGGTAATCTGATTCGGTGTATTAGCACCACTGTCACTCCTGATGTGAAAACTGAATGTCTGTTCAAAGAGTAGACGGAGCAACGGAGAAAAAGTTCAGACTTTAAAGTAGTTTGTATCAAACTTTGCAAAAGTCGTCACTACCGACGCAGCACAGCAGCAGCTTATGGTCTTAATTACTAATCAGCGGAAAACGACAATAAGAATATACTCTTTAGCTTTAGCAAGGGAAGCTAAATATTCATCCATGAGAGTAGAGAGAGACCACACAGAGATGTGAAAACTGTGTCAAAGATGGTCCAAACTCCAAACTTTATCAGAACCCAGAACAGTTCACTCACACACTGTAACTCACAGCCTGATTAACATCACTGTTCCTGTTGCTCACTCACTTTAACGCACTTCCTCAGTTGACCCACGACCAGAAGCTCTCGTGTCGTTGAGCAGTTCTTCTGGGTCAGTCATTATAACATCGGGACTCATCATGTTTTCACTGTGAATGTGATCGCCCCGGCTATCAGTCAGTTGCATCAGAAGCACATGTTTTGCTGTTAGCAGGCAAGCCAAACACACTTTCGCACTGGTTTCTCACTGTTATGGTATCACTGTCGGAATCACCGGCTGTCTGACTTTCCCACTGCCTTTTGCTAAGGCTAATGCTACAAAAACATTTATTTAGCTTTTTCTTAAATAGTTTAAATTATTTACACGATACTGCACATCTCTGTACGATGCAGCGATAGGTTGCACGAAAACTCAATCACTGTGGAGAAACTACAAATTTTACTCCTGTCCGTGATACAGTGATACTGACTGAACTGGCAAAAAAAAGGTTACAGCCGAAGAAGACTGTTATACCATATAAGTCTGTTAGCCATGCCATCGTTTAGCTCCAGAAGCTACAGTACATCCAGCTGTTTGTCAAGGTTGAAAAAAACAAACAAAAACCAATACGTCAGTACATGTTTATTTGACTTCCAATTTGTAGGAAAAAATGATTTGGTCCATTTTCTCTATTCATTTCACACCAGGGCCCAGCATCATCTTCATTATCCTCATCATCCTCATCATCGCTCCTCATGCTAGTGACTCATAGCCGGCATGATGACATTCACAGCTCTCGCACTTGTGCGCCAACTTGTGCTCCTTTAAATTATGGATGAAGGTTGAACAGCATCGATGAGGACGTGATGAGACAACCATGTGCCATATATGTCCTCCATCCTGTCACCACTGCTGAGCCAAAACAGCCACGCAGCTCACCAGGATGTACAGAAATAACAGTGTCACCATGGTTACAAAGGCATAACGCTGTGGCTCCACATACACAAAACAGACCACGTAAGTGGGGGTGTTTACAGCACGTTCAAATCAACAATATCATTTTGACACCTCAAATCTTCTGTTACCCCCCCCTCGAAAACCCTCCACCCCCAGCCCCACCCCCAATGCTGACCTTCTCTGTTTTCTAAATTATTCAATGTCTGTTTTTCAGTCGCTCCTCGTTCCGCTGTAGCCAGCCTACACACACACCCACTCAAGGGCATGCTGTGATGAGCATATATAACTAAATGATTTCTCCTCGTACACTACATGCATAAAATTAAGCCCGACTCATCCGGATAAAAACAAAAGACGGACAGTAGTGACAGATGACATGCACACATAAGACACAGGAGGATCAAGGAAACACCAACCTTGACAACATATGTCACTCCTGGTCCAGAGATCTTCTCGCTCGAGTGTAGCCATCCTCTGGAGGGTTTGCTGACCAGTCCACCACCTCCACCTTGATTCCACTCCTCTCCTGCGGGCTGCAGCTCATCCAGCCTGCTCTTTTTACTCATGCTCACAGCTGACTCCAGCTGTGAGCAGGTGGTTGGATGTGAGGCTGAGCTGCACAGCGAGCCGCCTACACCACAGCCTGCTGCTGCTGCTGCTGCTGCTGCTGCTGCTGTTGTTGTTGTGCCCGGCGCACTGGGGCTTGGACCCCCAGAGCCGC